TCCCCTCCCTCCCTCCCTCCCTCCCCTCCCTCCCTCCCTCCCTCCCTCCCTCCCTCCCTCCCTCCCTCCCTCCCTCCCTCCCTCCCTCCCTCCCTCCCTCCCTCCCTCCCTCCCTCCTCCTCCTCCTCCTCCTCCTCCTCCTCCCTCCCTCCCTCCCTCCCTCCCTCCCCTCCATAGAACCAAAAATCAGTTTCGATCGATCCGCCCCAAAAGGGTCTGAGATGGGATGAGGTATCTATTCATCGGACTACTTTATTGCTCTAGATCTGTGCATCTGTCACAGATCTAGAGCAATATCCGAATCTGTTCTACTTCTAGGATGATCTATTTTCGGGCGGTGCTCGAGGATGCGGCGAGCGGCTTCGGGGGCAGCGGCCATGGCGCTGCTGCTCACAATCGCGTTGCTCATGCAGGAAGGGCGACGAGAGGAAGAAGAGCAAGTGCCGGAAGACGTGGGACAGGTGAAGATACAGCATGAATCTCTCGATCGTGGGGAGAAGGAGCTGAAATGGCCGAAATGGAGACAAAGTTTTTCATGGCCGGGGAGGAAGGGAGTGGAGGAGCTTCAGGAAGATGAGAAGGGAGGAGGAGGGAAGTACTCGAGAACTCAGTTGCTGCTCTCGGATGACAGGAAAGCGCTCGCTCTCTCCCGCCTTGCGAGGAAGAACATGCAAGACTTGATGAGAGAGCACATGGATGGAAAAGCTGCCATTGAGGGGAGGCTGCTGAAGGAAGAGGCTTCTCGACAGATCGACCATGAAGAAGCGCAGGATCTGGAAGCAGAGCGTCTGAGGTCAGCGATCCATGCTTTCGAGCATGGCGTGCCTGCGGACATCGCGCGCAAGTTCTCCAGGGTCCGCTCCGAGCTCAAGTCGTCGGCGCAGGGTGTCGGCAGGTATGCAGCATCGTCCTTGAAGAGTGCGCAGAGGGACTTCGAGAGTGCGCTGAAGGGATCCATGGCGAGGGGGAGGCAGACGCTCCAGTCCTCTGCTTCCTACAACCGCGATCGGTATCCCTCCGGCTACATCGACTGGCAAGCCCGTTATGAGAGGTGCTGGCCGCATTGTGCGCCTGAAGACAATGTGTACGATCACATCAGGACATGGAAGTATCCGTATGATGAGCGGCATGGTGGGCACGAGTGGAAGACATGGAGGATCAAGCCGAGTGGGGTGGATCGGGCGTACCAGAAGGCGGAGCAGAGCGGGAGGAGGGAGCATAGGAGCAAAACGCCCTTGTATCCTCGCATGAAGGCGAGCGCTGGTTTCGATATGAATGTGTACTGGACGCAAAGTCAGGTTGACCTCCAGTCGGCCGTGAGTGTGGCGGCAGGAAAGAGCAACGTGTCCTTGTACACAGCACATGTTGACCTCGCTGATCAGCAGCCTTTGCTCAATTCTGTGAGCGAGAGCACCAATGGCCTTGTTGTCTGGAGTGGATTTATCTTTGTCAATGCTGGTGGGGAGTACACCTTCACTCTGAACGCAGACAGCGACTCTGCAATCTGGATAGACCATCAACAAGTGACAGCAACAGATGGCGGTAAAGGCACCGCGACGACATTTCTCCTTCCCGGCTTTCACTTCTTCAAAGCAATATTCTGCAAAGTCTCAGACCGTCACGTCATGACTGTGAGGTCTTTCGGCCCGGACACCGGCGGCGTGGAGAAACTCGTGGAGGGTTTTCACGACTTCAACCAACTTCCAAGCCCACAGGTAAGAACCTACGTACACTGCCTGCCCTTACTCCCCCTTCTCTGTGTACCTCACATGCAGAAGCAGAGCCTCGAAGGCGGAATTGTTTGACATGACTGTGACAGGAGCCACACGAGAGTCCGGCATCGTCACAGGCGTCCGCCCCCCATCAAGATCCCGACGCCCCGGCAAGCTCCCACTCGTCGTTCCATCACGTCGAACCTGAAAAGAACGTTTGGGATCATATCACCGACCAGTTTGACTCGCCATCGAGCGGGCGCCGCTGGTCTGATCCTGCAAGTGATCCTCAAGGATACTACGACAATGTCCTTGGGGATGGCAACGATGGCGACTTTGTCCCCCTCTTCCAGGAAGTTCCATCCCCTGATCCCACCGCTCCTCCTCTGGACCCTCCTACTCCTCCACCGCAGGATCCTCCTTCTCCTTCTCCGCAGGAAGAGCCTCTTCCTGCTCCAGAGAACTCCCCTGCTACCTCACAGGATCCTGACGCCGACGAAGCATCAGAGTCGGTCGCAGGAGGCAGCAGCTCCAGGCTGAAGATGAAGGGGAAACTTGAGATCCTCCATCAGCTCGCTAGCAGGAAGGCCGCGGCATCTTTGAAGATACCCATGGTCCGAACAAGCCCGGAGGCTCCGGTTGCCAAGAAGTCCAGCAGGAGCTCAGCTCTGAATCAGCCACATCATCAGGCCGTGGGACGGAAGGGCATGAAACAGACTTCGAAGCTGATAGCTGTTGGAGGATGGGACGCACAAAGTGGTGAGATCTGAGGAGAGCAGGAGGAGAGAGAGGAGAAGGAGGAGGGGCAGGGGCAGGGAGCAGGAGGAGAGAGAGGAGAAGGAGGAGGGGCAGGGGCAGGGAGCAGGAGGAGAGAGAGGAGCAGGGCAGTTGCTGACGACGAAACTGCAGGCCAGGTTCAGCAGGAGAACATCAAGCAGATGAAAGTTGTCGGGTAAGACGTCTTCGTTTCTTGCTTCCAGGGCTCGTTACTCACTTGCTCTCCCTCCTCCTTCCGTCCTTGCAGATTTTTCGCACAACAGGCCGCAAGCTCGTTGACGGGACAGCCACCTGTCGCTGTGGTAGGCAGACTGCCTGATTGAGCTAGCGAGTGACGTTTGCGCAGTCTCGGGTCGACCAGCGGTCCTTTATCCTCGGAGTCACAGCTCCTGACAAGTCGTCAACCCTGTAGAGGTGCCAAGGAGGACGCGATGTGGAGAAAGAGGAACGATGTGCGATTGTCCAGGTGCTAAGCAGACCTACGACAAGGGACTTTCTTATTGTTTGCTGTAAATATTATTCTTTGAAATTATGTAAATCCTTCAAACGTGATATGAGATGGTCTCTGCAAGAGATAATGTTTTGACGTCATGTGTTTACTTCTTGATTTGTTAAGTGTCCGAAGGAAAAGTGAAGTGGCTTGAGGACAGGGCTGGCAACCTGAAGCTATCGATTTGACTGTTTGGTACATAGTTCATTCTATACAACAAAAACCTTAAAGAGGGATGGGTTAGTATGTCAGTATTGATCTCTTCCGCAAGTTCGCAGAAGCTGGTTAGTTGAGGCTTGCAATGCCCCTCAGGAGGAGGACTTCATACGTGTTCCCGGTGTTCTTAGATTTGAACTCCAGCTCTACCTTTTTCACAGACAAGATGTAAACCCCTCACTCTGACAACAATCCCAGCAGCATTACCTTGGATCCAGTCGGTCCAAGGAGAACTTCTGCTAATTCAGCGAGCTTCTTTCCGTACACGTTCTCGCCATCGACCTTGAGTATAATGTCTCCCACCTACAACATCTTTGAGTTGAAGCGCATGCATCCACCGCAACTGCAGAAGTTGCTAACGGCAGCCAGCCACCTGAATCTTGCCGCACTTGTGCGCTGGTGAGCTCGTCAGCAACGACTTGACTTGGAGGGCCCCCGGATCAGTCGAGCACTTCTGAAAGTACGCCCCGATGCCAACCCTGTCTGCTGTAGCAGTTGTTTCCTGCGGGATGAATCGGTCATACAACAACCCTGCTCTCGCTCCTTCCTCACATGGGGACTAGTGAAGCTCACAATCTCTCCTTCCTAGCAGACTAGATCAGACAGAGGTCAGTGAAAGGAGACACGTCGAGACCTTTCGAGGGACTCGAGAGATCTGTCTCTCAGTCTGCTGCTTGACATCGTTTCTCTTGGCGCAACAGCTCTGTTCAGCTCCCATTTCTCCTGTACACCATCAGAAATCGAATGAGCATGATTCCTGACAGAGGCGAGGGGAAACTATTCTAAAGCATGATGTGCGCAGAATACTTTCACCAGCCAAGTAGTGAAAAACTGTTAGGACGAATTGGATCCAACACCACATTTTGACACCATCCATCTCGCCTATCTAGAATTCTATTGCCTCTGTTCAATTTATCCTAACTCCTGTATTTCATCCTCTCCTAGCTGCATAAGATGATCATCGTCTTCGAAACTGCAGATATTCGTTCACAGTGGTAGCTCGTGTCCTACGAGACTCTCCTAAACAAGTTCACAACCTAGAAAATTCTCATCTCAGTCTGGTTTGTTGCGCTCATCTTTACACGTTTATATCTTGGATTTCAGGAGCCACACAAAGACGATAGCCGGGGAGCTTTCTAGCTTGTCTGGCACCATTTGGCTCCTGACAGTTTTTGTTCCAACAACCTTTTCCTGTCCCATGTGACAATATTACAAGCAATGAGGTATGATCTGCTTGACAACCAGCACAAAGATTGACCATCCTTGTTCTGCAAGCACGTCTATATCCTGCTCCCAATCCATAACATTGACGTTGTCACTCTGTGCCTCTTCCTCGAATGCACCGAGTCTCTTTGCCTTGTCTCTGTTGCCAAGTTCAGCTAGCCTCCATCACCATCTTCTGCTGATCAACTTTCACGAGGAATGCCTTGTATCTTCTATCCTGTACGGCATTCCTCGTTTCTCATCTTCCTTCCTCTACTCTTGCATGGCTCTTCGCTATGGTTGCATTTTCCGGGCCTTCATCGCCACAAATCAAATATCGACCCTACCTCCCTGCAAACCCTACCCCACTCCTCCTACCGTAGTACCCCATTTTGATATCGTTATCACCCCTGTGTTCTCTATCCCCTTCCCTTGTATTTCACCACCCCCTCCCTGCAAAATAACCCCCACCCCTCCCAGTACTAAGTTTGAAACTTGTTACACCCGACCGGCGGACCGGGTGCCCGCGGCAGTGCCAGGAATCGGAGGGGACCTATCCTCGGACCCCCTCTTCTGACCGTGCCTACCCTCTAGGCTTACCACCTCTGGGCCGGGGGCTTCGCGCCACTAGAACTGATCGGACCCACCCCTTTGCAAGTAATCATGGCAAGTTCGATGAAGTACCCCCTCCCCCCGGTAGGCTTGGCCGGTCGGTCACGGTGCCAGTTGGCAGCGGCGGCCGCGCGTTGAAACGGCCGGCACTTCCGTCCGATCCGGGGCCGCGCCCCCCGAGCCCGGCCGGCCCGGATCGCCGGATCGCCGTGACACTCGGCCCGGAGGCTCAGTGCCGACCGGGGGGGGGCGCCGGGCCGTCGGCACTGAGTCACGGTCACCGATCCGAGGCGGGCGGTTCGCCGTGACGGTCACCGTACGCCCCGGGTCACGGTACACCGAGTGTCACCCGGTGACCGGCGCCTGCTGGCACCGTGACCCCGGCCGGGCGTCCCGGGCCCGGCCGGAGTCACCGACTCGAGTCCTCGGATCCGACGGTCACCACGCCGGTACGCGGCCCGGCCTTCAAGTACTGCGCAACTTGATGAATCAGAGTCTTACAGAGCGTTCAGTGTCGAGAGTTCCAAGGCAGGCCTCACCGTCGGCTAGTCCTGGCACAGTACGGTACGGTATGTGTGTTTAGCCTGAGAATCCGATCCATTACACTCATGACAAAAAGAGAGTTTCTTTCCATGCAATCGTATGCTTCATTTTCATTTGTGTTATGCCAAGAAGTTCTGATCAGCTCGCTGTCATCTATCATCTGCAACTTTCATATCACCATAGTTTATTAAAATCAAAACCAGCACTCAAAGCACAAACAAAACAACCCAGCATAATCAAATTGCAGTGCGGCAAAAGAACAAAACAATGAAACCTACAAACAAAGACTGACAAAGACTTCATGCAGGACTACGACCGGTGCAAGCTGACTGCTCCACATGGTCCAGCGCCTCGTTTAAAAGGTCTGCATCTAAGCCAATTCTCCATTGCAGAAAAAACTGCTGCTGCTTCCCCTCTCCAATCAAGCCAACGAGTGCCTGGTTTCTTTGTTCAATAGCCATGAGGTCTTGCCTTCCAGACATGCTATCACTATCATCATGGTGATCTATCTTCATCAAATCACTGCAATCATATTTGCTCCAGCTGCGAATCCGACAATATGGCCATTTGTCGAACCCCAGTCGGCGGCAAGCTTTCTTGAGGGCTGTCAACGAGATACCCAACTTGGTTGCGGCATCTACCTGCTTGAGTTGCTGAAGCTGCATGATGTCCTCTCTCTTGATCTCCACTGTTGGGTTGGGCTTTCCGTTGTTTCGTCTCGTGGATATGGTAATGCTATTCGGCCTTGGAACGGCACTTGCTACTTTCGTCATTCTTCCGGTTTTCGCACTATGGCGCAACAGGCAAGAAGCAGAGAGCCCAAGATAGAGACTGATGACACTAGAGACCTTGGTGCACAGAGTGCCAGCTGAATTCGGTCCAACGATCCAAGTAGCAGAAGAGGATGGGAAGAAATAAAGGAACGATAGCAACAAGTTGGCCACAACAATGGCTGGAAGACACTGTCTGGCGGGGAGGGGAAGAATGGACGAGGAGAGAAAGAGGTATGGAGAGGAGTAGATGTGAGAAAGAGGTGGAGCGAACAAGGATCAAAGCTCAGGGCGGAGGAGCGTTGAACAGGTGAAGCAAGGGGCCACGAGTTGAAAGGGAGCGAAGGACCAAAACAAGCCGAGGAAAGACCCATCGAAAGAGGGGGTGGGGTCATTAAAAGTAGGGTCATTTTAATCTTCAATGTCTCGAGAGTACGGGTGGTTTCAGATGATTTTACAATAGGGGTGGGGCACTACAACGGGGAATGCGTGACTCCTTCCGTAAACCAGGGGGTTGGGTGATGCTAGAAGGGAGGTCGTAAGTCATGGAACGATCGCCACCAACTGTTGCGATCTCGGTATCCAAATCCGGAGATGCCAAGAAGATTGGTTTTAGCATTTCGAAAAGGTCTACTTTCGAAGGACTTGTTGGGGTCGTTTACTCAAATATACAAGTTTGTGACTACTGGTATTCTAATATCCAGGTGAAAGATATGTGACAACAGCCTATGGTGGCTACACCACCCTACTGAATAGGCACCGCCCACTACCGTGTTGCACTCAAAGGGTGGGGTAGACACAACCGGACACTCGTCAGGGTGGGGTGCTGAAGTTGAAGCCTGCAAAATGGAGACGTGACTTCGGTACTCCGAGGGGCTCCAATACACATTTGTACCGAGTTTACCACACAGGATCGGATCCTTCGTTCTTACTAGTATGTGATATAAACTAGTAGCCGCTCTATTAGTACGGGACCGTGCCAGTAGTACTACGGCGTTCTCCCCCTCGAGAGGCCTTGAGTCAGTCAGCGTTTACACCAATAGTACCAGTAAAGTCAGTACCGTAATTGCCGCCAAGTCCGAGCACTATACTGAACCCGGTACGGTACCCGCTAGCTGAGCGGCCGGCCAGTGGTCGCCGGGGGGCGCGGCATGATGAGGCCCGGGTCAGGGTACACACTACTGAGGTTGCCGGCCCGGCCGGGCCGGGCCGCCCGGCCGCCTGGCACCCCGGGCGTGACTCGCCTCACACCGGGTGAGTCACGCGGCCCGGGGGGAGCTTGAGTCATCAGTCAGTGAGGGGCCTCCGGCCGGCTCCCGGACTCCGGAGTCCCGGTTCAAACCGTTGGCAAGTTGTTACCGTACAGTGACGGCCATCAACTTGCCCGAGTCAGTGGCTCCGGCGGACTCGAATCCGACTCGGAGGCTGATCGGAGACTCGGAGACTCGGACGGACGCCGGGTCGGACTCCCCGCCCCCCGGCGGCGCCGGCGGCCGCCGCAAGCCACGGTTTCAAGTTGGTCACCGGGCCCAAGTTGAATAGGCCACGGTACTACCCGGCGTACTTCCGAAGTTCCCGGAGTCCGGGCCCGGCCGGAGCCGGGCCTGGAGTCGGCCGGCCCAGCCGCCGGGGCCCCGGGCGGCCGGGCGGGCCGCCGGGCCGGACTCGGACGGTCCGATCCGGGCCGGCGGCCGCGCGCCGGGCGCGGCCCGGCGGCGCCGCCGCCCGGGCCGGGCCGCCGCCCGAATTTCGGCCGTGGCCCGGGCCAGTCATGAGTGGCACTGCATGATCCGATGATCCGATGATCGGTCGCCGAATCAGGCGGCGTCACGGTGCTGACGGCCGAGTCCCGGACGGTCCGGCGGACTCGTACAGCCTGGCTTGAAGCCTCAGCAGCGGCACGGTCCGATCCGATCACTATCTGTACGCGGCCTGACTCGGTCCGATCACTGAGAGTCACGGTCGGGCTCGGACTCCACCCTCGGAGGCTCGGACCGTGTGAGTCCCGGGCTCCCCGGCCGGGCGGCCCGTCGGCGGCCCCGGCGCCGGGCGCGCGGCCGGGCCGTGACTCCGGCCCGCCGCTGAGAGGCGCTCGCCGCGGCGGCCGCGCGCCGCGCGGCCCGCCGGCGAGCGGCGGAGTCACTGTCCGGCGATCCGCGGCGGCCGGGCCGCGGGCGTACTGACACGGCCTGAGCCTCTTGTCCACAATGATGATTCAATGACTCCGAGCACCATGCCAGGCCGGCGTTCAACCCGGCGTACGGTAGTACCGGAGATCATCACGGCGAGGTCACCCCGTCACTCGGACTGGCCGCCGCCGGCGCGCGGGCCGGGGCGCTGCCACGGACGGTCAGACTTCAGTCCCGGGTCCGTCGCCGTGGGCCGCCGCCGCCGCCGGCCGGGCGGCCCCCCCGGGGGCGGCGGGCCGCTGCCCGGCCACTGAGGATCGGGCAAACAGTCAGTGCGTCCGAGCGAGAACCAAACCTACTATTCTGATCTTTAAAACTTAACTTTGAGTAAAGCATCACTATCCTGCCAACTGCTGTCCCCCAAACTTAACTGATACTTTGAGTAATCATTATAATAAACAATGAACCGGATACAAACCTGTGTCCTTTCATTGCCGGGTGTTCCCCGACTCTTTCCCACTACCCTCTTCTTGACCTGAAAGTACCCCACTTCTTTCCCTGAAAGTACCCCTCTGCTTCCCCTGAAAGTACCCCGCCCTTCTCCGTCTACCCCCACTATGATTGAAGCTTGCAGCAGTACGTAAGATGCCTGCTTTGTAAACGGGCGACCCCTTGGAGCCCTACGAAGAAGGCGAAGGGGACAAGGAGAAAGGTGTAAGAGGGAGGGCTGCTCAGCTGGTATCATCGGCTAAGAGGACAGAAGACAAGCTCCTTGCTCTGGAAGAGAGTTGCTCTAGGAGAAGCAGCTGTCACAAGGGAAGAGCAGCGTGAGGGACTGTTGAAGAGGCTGGAAGGGCTTGCACGGCACTGTGCGTGAGGGTGATTGAGAACAGGAGACAGGAAAGAACGAAACAAACATCACAAACACGAGCATACATTAATGTGCCAAGTGGAAGGGATCATTCCGTCCTCAGCTCTTGCCAGTCACTCAGTGGAAGAGCTGACATGGCATCAGTTCCGGGACATAACCAGCAGCGACACCTTGTATCCGGCGCCCCATCATCATAAGACTCACAGTGTGGTCCTGACCTATGATGAGTTCTCCTCCAACGTCCCAGCAGACTTCCTCCTTGATGCCTACCTCGACGGCGTCTCCAGCGACTGGATGGGAGCTGGGCTGTGCATGGACGATGGGCCGAGGAAGCATAGTCTCCGACTTTTTGACGATTTTCGATTTCCTTTCACGGATCACAATGAAGAAGATTCGCTCAACTTCAGGGAGGAATGCTCCTGCTGTGAAAGAGGCAACCTGTGCGACGGGATAGTTTGCACCTATCAGGCCCCTCCTCCTGTTTCCTTCAACACGATCCGGAGCAAGGATGGCAGCAAGTCTTGGAGGTTTAGGGTTTACAACTCGCAGGGTCCAATCGAGGTCTACTCAGAGGAAGTACACTTGTGGAGAAGGCACAGGAACAGGTGTATGGGGTTACAAGGACTGCTGTAAGTCCTTCCCAACTGTAACGCTTCTCAACTTGCCCTCAGTCTCATCGATGGTTGTGTTTGATTGAAAGTGAGAACAATGATACCGGTTGATGCTTGTCATAGTAAAGAATAAATCATTTAATACACCTCATCCCGTCTCCCATCTTCATCCTTGTCTAAGGAGAACCACACTCTAATCACACCTGTCATCACCCCTGGTAAATCCCTCACGTCCCTCCTCAGTCCGCTCGCATCATTCTCGCAAAGCATGTCTTTCTTCTCAATGCTGCTCGTGCTCTTTCCAGAGTGATTACTGCTGCTTCTTCTCCTGCACCTGCTCCTCTCGTGCCTTCACAGCAGGAGGGACAATCATCTGTAACAAATATCGATCACCGCCATGCCTGAGCCAAGGAGCAACTCTCCTTAGCTGAGACCAGGAGGGCCCCGGTAACATACCCGAGCATCCCGCAGCCTTGCGAACAGGAGTTTCAGGAGAAATGAAGACGAAGAGTTGGAAAAGGAGGAGGAAAAGGAGGATGGAGATGAGGTGGAAGAGGAGAAGAAGGATGAGGTGGAAGAGCAGTTGGACGAGGAGGGGGCAGATGAGGAGGGGATAAGCACAAGTTAGATCAGAACTGACCACATTGCAGCAAGATCGCACTATGGAGATCAAGATACCCTTGCAGGTAGTGAATCTGTTGGAAACAACCAATCACAATGAGGGAATAGCAGGCAAGTCATCCATACAGCAATCCCGAAGGCGAGGAATATGACAGCACTCGACGAATTCTTCGCATTTTTGGCCAAATGCGTGTGTGAAAAAAAACAGCTACAAGGTAATCAGCAAACACAGCAGGAAAACTTGACAAGGATGTTCCTTACCCTCCCATCAAGAAACCAAGAATCATCTGCGAGTACATCAAATGTTTGCCGTTGTCGTAGAGGTTTAGGAAGCCGATGCTTGCTTGCACCAGGCCAATCACTGGAACCATCCTGCCATGGATATGAGAGCCTCCCTTTGGAACACTGTCGCTACCAAAAGGGGATGCCAAACTCCAACTCGAGCTCCCGAGCAAGAATCCCCTGATGATGATGAGCAAGTCAGAAGGTTTGCAGTGATGTAGCACGAGGGACGGGGAAGGGAAGAAGCGTCAGGGGTAGGAAGAGGGAGAGGAGAATGGGGAGGGGCAAGGAGATAGGAAGAAAAGAGATGGTGGGAGAGGTGTGGCAGCGAGAGGAGTGGGGGCAAGGGGGGGTGGCAGGGGAGGGGAGGGGGAGGGGGGGGGGGGTTTCGTCATGCAGCTACCTTGAAGAAGTCAGAAGTGAAGAGAAATGCCATGAAGCCGAGGATACCTGTCTCAAGTAGCCTTGCAGGCAGGAAGTCAATACAGGAGCACTTCCTGCTCTGCCATCCTAGCTTGTATGGGAAACCCCATTTGCTGTGTGTTGAGGGCTATAGTGCAGGCGGATGATGTGATGGGTAAACGTTCATCGATGTGATGGGTAAACGTTCATCTCAGAAGGGCGAAATGTCGTTCTCACAACCAAAGCAAGCGACCTCGCGCTCAGCGAGGAGATCAAGCAACACAGTAAGTTATTTGAGCATAATTTCTAAATGTTCTCTTCTCCGTTCACCCTACATGCCGATAACGAGTGCGTTTCTGTCTTCTTTAGCACCTTCTATGTCGAACCAATCAACTTGATGCTGACTCGCTCTCCGTTCTCCTCGTACTCTGTGCTTGCCCTGGAAATCCTTTTATCCTTCTCCTCCCTACTCGCACTTCTCCTTCCTCGCTCCTGTCACTCCTCGCTCCTCTCACTCCTCCTGCCTCGCTCCTCTCTTTCACCTATCCTCCCTCCTCCCTCCTCCCTCCTCCCTCCTCCCTCTTCTCTTCTCTCCTCCCTCACCTCAGGAACTCAACCCACTCACTGGGCTGGATATAAGCCATGTCGGGCGCAAGAATGGCAGGCTAAGACTACCGGTAGTTGAGACCAATTTTGAATCGTTTTGGTGGGGTAGGTAGTATGGCACGAAGGATCTTCCATGCTCAGGGAGCGATTGGCTGCAGGAAGCGAAGCAAATGAAGGGAGGTAGGAAGGATGAGGAGGAGAAGGGAGGGAAGGAGGAGAGGGAAGGGAAACAAGGGAGAGGGAGAAGGAAAACAAGGGAGGTAGAGAAGGGAGGAGAGTGGGTAAAGGCAAGCATGGACTGAAACGTGAACGGATTCCCGAGAAGCTGTCAGTATGATTGAGACGAGGCATCGAATGATGGAGTAGATATCAGTGGATGATGGATAACATCAGCGATGTAGGATGGTGGAGACACAAGATGGTACATTACGGCTAAGAGCATTCGTAGGATTCAGAAGGATGAGATAACGGTGTACGCCATGGTCAACGATACGATTCAGCAAGGCAGCAAGCAACATTCGTACATAACTTGGTTTATTCTGGTCTGAGGTGTGTCAGGATCCCATGAAACTGCACGGCTGGCAGCGAGGAAGCGACATGCTGGAGGCAAGCACTGAGGCCCCTCATACCCGGGGGACCTGGGGCTGCGCCTCCTCCTCGGCGAACTGCTTCATCATCTCCTTCTGCTTCTCAGTCATCTGCATCGCAAGCGTCAGCTCTCAGCAACTCACTTGCTCATGGCGCGACTCACGTTCTTAGGAACGACCACCTTGAAGTGAACCACCAGGTTGCCGAACCTGTTCCCGTCCATGTGCCGTGCCCCGTGCCCAGTCAGCACTCGGGTGCTCCCCGGCTGGATCCCAGCTGGGAGCGCGATCTCCTGCTCCTTCTCGAGGGTGGGGACCTTGATCTTGCACCCGAGCACGGCCTGCGACACAGACAGCGGGTACTCCAGATGAACGTCCGCGCCTTCTCTCCAGAAGAAGGGATGGCTCTTAATGTTGACGGATATGTACAAGTGACCCGGCGGCTGCCCACGGTCCCCTGACTCTCCCTTGCCCGGCATGCGCAGCCTCACGTCCGGGTCCAGCCCCCCCCTGATCTGCACCGTGATCTCTTCCTCCGCCTCCACCTTGCCGCTGCCTCTGCATCTCTTGCAAGGAGTGTCTACCGTGGACCCCTCGCCGTTGCAGGTGCTGCACACCGACTGGACTTGGATGAAACCCATGGCTGTTTCCATCACTTCGCCAGTGCCCCTGCAGGTCGGGCAGGTCCGGCGCTTCGTCCCCGGCTCCGCCCCCTCTCCGTTGCAAGGCTTGCAAGTGTCCTTCTTGCGCACACGGATCGTCTTGGAGCAGCCCTTTGCAGCCTCCATGAAGGAGAGGTCGATCTGTACATGCACGTCCTTCCCTGCTCCCCTCCTTCTTGAGTTCTTCCTCCCTCCAAACATGCCGCTCAGCTCCTCGAAGATGTCCATGGGGTCGCCACCAAAGTTTTGGAACCCTTGGAAGCCCTCGAAGCCCCCGAATCCACCAGCCGCATTCCCATTCGCGTCCATGCCACCCATATCGTACATCCTCCTTTTCTGCTCGTCCGAGAGGATCTCGTATGCATTGTTAAGTTCCGAAAACTTCTCCTGCGCCTTGGGATCCTCTTTGTTCACGTCGGGGTGTAGCTTCTTTGCTTTCTGGAAGTATGCTTTCTTGATTTCCTGCGATGAAGCTGATTTGGGCACACCTAGCACCTCATACAAATCCTTTGCCAACACCGGAGAGCTCGAGCGAAAAAACCTTTTCCCATAAAAACTGCAGGCGTGGAGGTGCTTCAGATTCATGCTGCTGCCACATCGGCCAGAGAAGCTCCAGGATGGGCTGGAGCCTGCTGTCTTACAGTCATCGACGGCTTGCTGTCTGAAAACGCTCGTCGAAATTTTCCTCTTCTCAACACGCATTCTTGAGCAGCTCGTCAGATTCCGCACTGAGTGCGCAATCCGATCTATTCGGGTCGCCCCCATCACGTTTCTTGCTGCTGTCATGAGCCCATTGACATTCATCTGCAATTTGTACACCTGAGAGTCCAGATGTCACTGTGAGAACTAAGCTTTTTTCAAGATGGTGTGAAAACAGGAGTAGGCACCGCATGTTTTGTGGGAATGTCAAATTGCCTTGATATGCTGCAGTGCCTCAAGTTTCTACATCAAGAAGCTCTAGCCCGAATAGCACTTATTCTCCTATCATTTCACTCTTTCATCTTCAGCCATGTATATTTGAACACAAACTCCGAAGAAATCAACCTCGAATAGAACACGAAACTCTCATGCAGAACTATCTCAAAGCATTTACAATGTCCGTCCGTCTCTTCAGCCTACAGCAGGCCAGCTACCTTCCAAGCACTGACTCTTGCTTTCTTTCGATAATCGCCCAACGCCTTCAGACATCACCAGAAAATCGCTCTTCTTTCCTATGGGTAAAAGTCTGTTGTATCTCAAATGCTTGCTTTGCGAGGGCTCGCAAAAGCTGAGTTTCCTCTTTCCTTCTTGTCTCATCCCCTCCTGCTCTGACACATCTCAAACACTCTGATCCAAATCGTGTTGTCCTCTCCTTCATGCTACCGTCAAGTGAACGCTCCTCTCCTCTCCCCCCGTCCCATCGCAATTCCACTTTCTTCTGCGGCATGGAACAAGCTCGTGCTACATCTGTTTACCCGCAGAATGTTCCACCCTGTTGTTCACACCCCCCACCCCCAAACTTTGTGATAGTACCCACCATCATGTCTCCAAAAAAACCATCAATGTACGGGTAGAACTGGGTACAATTGAGTCTCGAGGGGTGGGTAGGGAGAGGTTCAAGTGTGGGGTGGGCAAGTGCGGCATTGTGGGGTCAACGCGAAATGCTAGTCACGATACCTTGATGAATTGATAGGGTTGGGGTGGTCAATCTTTCAAAATGGAGGGGTGAGGGTAGTCTTATAACCCTACGAATCATAATTAATTGAGTGGGTAGTGGTTGTATATGGGTGGTATGAATTTCAGAACGTGGGGTACTGTGTCGACATCCACCAAGGGTACTTGTCGGGGTGTAGAAATATAATCCAAGCGGTGGGGTACATGAGGGTAGGGGTCATGGGTCCCCCATCGTACCGAAAACATTTGTTGGATCAGGGTAGTAGTGTTCGTGAGATAAGGTAGCAGGGTGGGGTACTGACTCGTCCGATTTCAAGGTTTCACCCCGGGTGACGGGCCGCGGCCGGCACCGTCCGATCGGAGCCTGACTGCCGGTCCGGCGGGCCCGGTGACGGTGCAGTGCGCCGTCCGACCGTTGGACCCGGCCGGCCCGCACTGCCGCAATAGTAGGCGGCAGTCCTGCCGGGCCCGGCGTGCTGCGTCTCGGATTCCGAATCAGTGCCCCCCGGGCCCAGCCCCCAGGCCCAGCCCCCGGGGCCTGCCGTGGCACGGTCATCGCCCCGGCGGCGGTTTTATCGGTGAGTGGCATTCTCAGATTCATGCCAACTTGAAGTTCATCGGCGCGATCGACTTGAAGACGCTGAGCCGCCGAGGGCCTGCCACCGGGTAGCCGGCGGTGCCGTGACTTTGTCTCTTTCTTTCTCTCTCTCTCTGTCTCTTTCTGTTCACGGTTTCTCTCTCGGAAAGTTTCTTTCTCTCTTTCTCTTTCTGTTTCTCTTTCTCTCTCTCTCGGTCTCCAAGTCTATCTCCAAGTGTGACTCCATCCCTCCTTTTTCTTGCTGCCCAATCTCTCCTCTGGCTGCTGCAGGTTTGTTCTCTCAGTAAACGTGCTCCTCTCTTGACTTTTCCCTCTCTTCTCTTTCTCCTCTGTCTTTCAAAGTTTTCCTTGTTTCCCGTCTATGGTCTCTGCTCTGCTTCTTTCCTTGTGCCTTCGTGTGTCCTATTGTCTTCTTTCGCCTCCTGTCTTCTCGTCTCGGCGCCCACCTTCCTGTCGTCTGGTCTGGTTTGGTCTCCTGCTTTATTTCGTTTGGAGTCTCCTCTCGTACACTCTATCCTCCCGTTCTCTCAGCACTTGCCTCCTCGTCTGTTCTCATCGGCTCTCTTGGCCACTCTTAGCCTCTCGTCTCGTCTCGTCTCGTTTCATTTCCTCACGTCACGTCTCATCTCGTCTCCTTTCCTCTCGTCTCGTCTCCTTTCCTCTCGTCTCTCGTCTTCATTATGCTTGTAGAATTTAGTCTCCTCTTCTCTAGTCTCTTCTCCTTTTGTCTCGTAAGTCTGTTCTCTTCTATGCTCTCCTCACTTCACCTCGCCTCTTCTCTTGTCTCCTCTTGTGTCATCTTGTTTTCATTTCACTATGTTGCGCTGTTCTGTGCTGTGCTGTGCTGTGCTGTGTTATCCTCCCTTTTCTCTTTCTCCGCTGCTCTGCTCTGCTCTGCTCTCCTTCTCCACTGCGCTGCTCTGCACTGCTCTTCCTCTCCTCTCCTCTCCTCTCCTCCCTCTCCTCTCTCTCCTTCTCGATTCTTCTTCCCTTCTCTCCCTCAATCCCGTTGTTTTACTCTCCTCTCCTCTCCTCTCCTCTCCTCTCCTCTCCTCTCCTCTCCTCTCCTCTCCTCTCCTCTCCTCTCCTCTCCTCTCCTCTCCTCTCCTCTCCTCGCTCTCCTCTGTCGCACAGGCGTGTACGAGACAAAAACTCTTGGCGACATTAGGCACTATAGTATCATCAAACATCAGCCAAATCTCGAAGCGGCTATTCCTTTGAGAGCCTGCAATTCTGGACACAGGCTTGTGGAGGGGGAATCGTGGATCCGTCGGGAAGTTAAGCGCAGGGGCTTCTGGAA